GCCTCTCTTAATGGGAGCATCACATCAGAGCAGGGATGAAGAATGAAGAGGGGAGCTGTGGGGATACTTGCTGCAGTAGGACCGCAAATACTGTTGGGCTGCTCAGGTCAGACATGTAATTGCCTCTGTATGTCTTTTTTTTTTTTTTTAAATATTATTTGTTTGTCAGAGAGATAGACACAGACAGAGTACAAGTGGGGGGAGAGACAAGCAGAGAGAGAAGCAGACTCCCTACTGAGCAAGGAGCCTGATGCAGGGATTATGACCGGAGCCAAAAGCAGCTGCTTAACCACTGAGCCACCCAGGCGTTTCGTACCTCCGTATGCCTTGCTTTGCTCATCTGGGAGGGGAGAATTGTTCCCACTTTGTAGGATTGTTGCTAAGAATGGGTGGATCTGCTAATTGGAAATAAATCCTTCCAGCAGCTCCTGGCACATACTAAGCATTGAGTAGACATAAGTTGCTTCTGACTGTATCGTCCCCATTATTAGTATCACCATCGTCACCACCTTCACCACCATCATCCCCATCACCACTGCCATTACCACCTAAACCATCATTATCACCACCACCACCATCACCGCCTAAGCCATCATTATCACCACCACCACCATCATCATCACTATAATCACCACCATTAAAATTACCACCTCCTTCACCATGATTATCATGACCATCACTCATCACCACCATCACCTTCATCCCCATCACCACCACCATCACCACCACCACCATCATCATCACTATCATCACCACCTCCTTCACCATGATTATCATGACTATCAGCCATCACCACCAGCACCATCTCCTTCATCCCCATCACCACCACCTACACCATCATTATCACCAACATCATCATCACTATCATCACCACCATTAAAATCACCACTTCCTTCACCATCATTATCATGACCATCAGCCATCACCACCATCACCATCATCACCATCACCTTCATCCCCATTACCATCTACACCATCATCACCACCATCACTATCACCACCATTGCTATGGACTAAATTATGTCCCTCCAGAATTCATGTATTAAAGCTTTAACTCTCCCAAGGCCACTGTATTTAGAGATAGGGCTTTTAGGAGGTAATTAAGGTTAAATGAGGTCAAGACAGTGGGGTCCTAATCTGAAAGGATTGACTACCTTATAGGAAATTGATTTGTCACAGTTCTGGAGGCTGGCAGTCCAAGCTCAGGGTGCCAGGCAGCTTGGTTGCTGGTGAGGACTCTTGCTGGTTTTTTTAGATGGCTGCCCACTCACTGTGAGGTAGGGATCTCAGAGAGAGATCTCTCTGTCTCTCCCTCTTCTCACAAGCACACCAGTTACTGAGTTAGTTCATCCTGGTCCAATATGACATCGTCATAACTTGATTACATCTGCAAGACCTTATTTCCAAATAAGATCACATTCACAGGCTCTGGGGTTTAGGACTTTTGGGGGAATAGGGTTTGCCCCTATATAGACGCCCTGGCAGGCAATGGGAGGTTAATACAGTTCAATACACATACCTTGCAGAGAATCCGGTCTTTCTTTCATTAACATGGTCTCCCTTCCTCGCCATAGTGGAACTGATAACACTGAACACTGAGAACATCAGGTGTAACCTTGCCTGCTCTCTAGAGCTGTGTGAGCAGAAGGAGAGATGACTGGGGGCATGGATAATTCACAGCCTGGACCCGTGGCCTCTGAATAACATGAGGGGCTGTTTGTCTCATCTTTCCATGTTGACCACCGTCCAAAGCTCTCTAGATGTTTATGCCTCTGTGTACATCCACGATGCACCGGGGCCATTTGCAGGAGGGCCTTCCTCTAAACAAGTCTTGGGCTATGTAGGGAAGTTCAGAAACTAGAAGGTTCCACAGCCTTCCCCCGTGCCTCTTATGCTAGGACAGAGCCAGAAAGAAACGAACCTTTCCAGATGCAAGGGGAGACGCTGTACCTGATGCATATATAATGACCTGTGGCCACCTCACCTGCTCTTAACATGAGCCCAGAGCTCGATTTCCAGCTAGCTTCAGGCAGCCTTGGGCGTGCCACCAGCCTGGGAGTCCAGCATGAAGGACCTGCCCCATACATTGGCAAAAAGGACGCAGGTCTGCCCTCGAGCTCAAGGTCTCAGTCGCTAAGTGGAGAACCCCACGCAACATTGTCCCTGGCAGGAGAGTGCCAACCAGACACAGCTGTCTCTCTAGGATGACAGATTCCCAGGCCCTCTCCAAACCCAGCCTTTGTCCAGCCTCTGCCGAGGTCCTGCTTCCCTTTCCTTGACTTTGTTCATCAGACATTTGTCTTTGCATCTTCCCTCCTTGGAGGACACCCTGCTCTGCCTGGCCTCTTCTGCTTCTGCACTTTTTAATAAAGATCATTGTAAAGTTTACTTAGGATAAAGTTGACCGTCTTCCCCATTTTGAAGGACACGGTTCACTGCAATCAGATGCGTTTGTGGTATCCTGCAACATCCCTGCCATCCCGCTGCACAATTTTGCACCTGTCCCTAGTAAAGCTCTGTCCCCATGAAATACTTGATCCCCACCCCCTCCCCCAGCCCCTGGCACTGCCATCTCCTTTCTGTCTGTCTGCATTTCCCTGCTCTGGAGAACCCGCACACATGACATCGTACAGTATTTGTCTTTCTGAGTCTGGCTGAGGTCGCTCAGAAGCATGTCCTCCAGGTTCATCCACGTTGTTAGCAGGGGTCCGTGTCATGCCTTTTTGAGGCTGAATCACATTCCATGGTGTGACTGGACCCCGTCTTCTTGATCCATTCATCCACTGATGGGCACTTGGTTGGCACCTGCCTTTGGGCCACCGTGATGAGTCACACTGGTTTGAACATGGGTGTGCAAGTATGTCTTCAACACTCTTGCCTTTGTTTCCTTCGGGTGTACAGTGGAAGGCGTCACAGATCATACGATGATGCTAGGTTTCACTTCGCAGGCGCCCGCCATACTGTCCTCCATGGTGACTGCACCCGCTTGCCTCCTCACCAGCCATGCATGAGGGATCCCTGTTCCCCACATCCTCACTGGCCCTTCTGGGTCATATCCCAATGGGCATGACGTGGTCTCCATTTTCGACTCTTTCCTTCCTGCTGACCAAGGAGCAAAGGCACAAGGAGGACCTGAACTCCATACATGCGGAAGCCCCATACCTTCCTCTTCTCGAGCCACCACTGTCTGCCTTAGAGATGAGTTCTCATCTGTCGGAGTCTTAGCGGGTGAGGGCTGGTCAGCTGTTTAGAAACAGACGTGGAAATCAGTATGGCCATCTTGAGCTCCGAAGTTGTATTTTTAGATGTCTGCCTTTCCCCCACCATCAGACAACACAGTGTGCCAGATAGAGCGTGTGGGGACGAGCCCACAGGTGCTTTGGAAGGAGGGTAAAGTGTGTGTGTGGACGGTGTGGTGGGGAGTGCGTTCCTTCCCCGGGGCTGCCAATACAGCACCCCAACTGACGGGCTTCGGTCAATGGTACTCTCCCGCGGTTCTGGAAGTTGGGAGTTCTGGAATGAAGGTGTCTGCAGAACCATGGTCCCACAGTGGCTCCCAAGAAAGGGGTCTGTTCTGAGCCTCTGTCCAGGCTTCAGGTCACCTCATGTGGTTCCTAGAGTGTAGGTGCCATCCCTGTGTCCCCAGTGGTCTTCCCTCTGTGCATGTCCGTGTCCTCATCATTTTTCCCCCTCTATCTTTAATGAGGTATGATCGACAAATTGTACATATTGACATTGTACAATATGGTTTTTCAAAAGGTGCATAGTGTGATTTAATACAGATTGTAAAGGGATTCCACACTCAAGTTCGTGATCACATCTGATCATCTTACCTGGTTACCACTTTTTTGCAGTGGTGGGAACACACATAAATTCTGTCTTCTTGGTAAATTTTAGATGTGAAACACGGTCTTATTAGGCAGCCAACATGCCATTCGTTACATCTCAGGACTTATTTATATGATACTTGGAATTTTACCTTTTTTAAAAAAAAGTCATTTTTACAGGTGAGTTCTGGTTCACCTCCATGCTGAGGCATGTGAACTGGGAGAAAATGAAGACAGTCGGTCTTGCGTTTTCCATAGACCGTAAAATTTAGAGATTACAGCAGAAAGGTGACACACCTGTGACACATCTATGTTTTAATGAAACATAGTGCCTCTTTTTAAGTATAAGGAGAATTCTCTTATAAGGACAAGAGGAAAGGAGCTCCATTTTTACCTTTTGGGAAAAAGAGAGATCCGAGACAGCACAGGGGAGGAGTGACCAGAGTAAAACCCAACACAGCTGACCTTGAGAAGCTCCACTGTCTGGGCTGGGTCTAGTTTTGGTGGGGGTGGGAGGGGTCAGCATCCCTTTTTTTCTAGCCCACTGTCCCCGAGGTGAGGCTAGAAGCTAAATTTTTGGCAAGTGTCTGCCCTTCTGCAGAGACAGTCCTTTCAAAAAGCCCCCTACCCTGTTTAAACCCTAAATATCCCAGTGTCTCTTAATCTAAGGATTTCTAGAAGCCACTGGTGAGATGAAAATGACCTTGAACCTACAGAAACGTTGAAAACACATAGGTTTTTGGGAGCAGGTGGAAAGGGCCATTAGCGGTGGATTTGCCTTTCCTCTGGAGGCGAGCACTAGCTTGTTGATGGAGAAGACATGTAGGTTCATGACGGCTTAGTGAGTGAATTCTTGACTTCTTTCCCATATCATTTCATGGGAAAACAGATACCGTGCCATTTTTGTGTTTAAGTAGACCACGGTAAGCGACAGCCACAGTGTGAGGCTGGGATACCAAGGACGTTCCTTCGGTTCTGTGTGGGTTAATGAGTGTTTGTAAGGGAACAAGTCCTCTAAGACAACGGCGGAGTGTCTGTCCAGCACAGTGTGTCCACAGGGTGGGCATAGGGCATCGTGGTAATCACCGACATCATTGTCACATTCAGTCCTTCTGAGATACACGCAGTCACTCGGCACTCCTAACTCTCCATTATGCCCTTCTCTGTCCCCAGGACGTGGACCCTTTGTGGAACGCCCGAGTATCTGGCCCCTGAAGTCATCCAGAGCAAAGGCCACGGGAGAGCCGTGGACTGGTGGGCGCTCGGCATCCTGATCTTTGAGATGCACTCAGGGTGAGTAGGAGGGTCAGCGTGTCCTCTCCAGTGCTTCCCTCCCCTGCTGCTGGACGTCTAGTGCTTTTGGTGGCAGATACCCATGATGTCCTCCCGTGCTGGCTTCCCCGTGCCAGCACAGCAATGGAGACACACAGGAAGCCCCAGCATTTGGAACCTTTCTCCTATCTAAATGTCCTTGCCTCCCATGACTATAATATTAGGTCTTCTACATGGGCTCTTTTGGAGCAAGGCAGAGAGCTCAGGTAATGACCATACGTGTTGATAAAGATACATAAATTGCATGATTTAGGACTTTATGAATGAGTCACATGCCAGAAAGGAGAGCGTGTGCCCGTACTTTCTTGGCGTGAGGCTAGCAAGGTTCTGCTTTCCCCACATCTGGACAGCAGAGGTGTTGAATGGGCGTCACGGTATCACCGTGATTGAGGAGTCCAGCCTGGCGGAGGCACGTGGCAGGTGTGATGTTCCTCTACCAGAAACATAAAGCATGCATCCCCCTGCTTAGAGATCCTAGACGTGGGGATTCCTCCTGGTCCCACGGAGGAAGGGCTCTTCTCTGTTGATGCAGCTCACAGACAGCCAGTCTGCGAGGTGCCAAGACAGTGGTTGGGGGCCCTCGGACGTGCGGCCCCTCTGCCTCCTTCCGCCCTCCCTGCCCTGTCCTTTGTCCTCCTTCTTCAGGCCAGTTTCCTGCTGGGGCGCTTGGCAGGTGCTTGGAGTTTACCCCCAGTTGAACCCAAAGCCCGAATGACTTCGACGTCTGATTCTGTGCAGGGCAAGACCAGAGCTTTTTGCCTGGAAACCTTCCCTTTCAGTTGGAAAGAATGATGGAAGGAGGTGTATTTCTGCACAGAGGGTGTGGCCAGAGTGGAGTCTTGTTAAAACCTATATTTCTCTATTATCGGTTTATCAACAACCTACTCATATATCTATCATCTGTTATCATCTATGTGTCTGTCATCTCTTGTCACCTCTCTGTTATCACATTTATCTGTCCATCTATCTGTCTCTCCATTTGTCCATCTACCAATCCATCCGTCCATCCATCACTTGTCTATTCTGTCTGCCTGTCTAGCCATCCATCCATCTGTCCATCTGCTCTCTGTCATCCATCCATCCATCATCTCTGCCCATCCATCCATCCACTCTGTCTATCCATCCATCCATCCATCCATCCATCCATCCATCCATCATCTCTCCCTGTCTATCCATCCATCCATCCATCCTCCCTGTCTGTCCATCCATTCATCCGTCCATCCATCCATCCATCCATCCTCCCTGTCTATCCACCCATCCATCCATCTGTCTGTGTGTCTGTCATCTGTTTGTCTGTCCTTCCTATCCATCCATCTATCCATCCATCCATATGTATCCATCCATCCATCCATCCCTCTATCTGTCTCCCCATCCATCCATCATCTCTCTAGCCATCCACCCACCCCCCCACCCATCCATCCATCCATCCATCATCCATCTATCCTCTCTACCTGTCTGTCCACCCCCCCACCCATCCATCCATCGTCTGTTCTCTTCACCCAGACGTGTCCAGCAAATCACACAGAACCGAATTTCTTGACAGACACCCCAGCCTGTGAAGTCCCAAGCTGAGCAGAAAGTTAGCATGAATCACTCACGGGGCCCATCCATCCAGACTAACAACGGTTGGGGATGTGGATGGGCCGGTCTTCGTCAGATTCCCCCTCAGACGTCCTGCAACCCAGCTCCCTTCCTTCATATTACTGACCACTAGGGGTCAGCATTGTTTAACAGTAAATGAACCCCCGGCGGCCAGAGCTTAATAAATGAAATTCAGCAGCTCTGTTTTCCCCATATTCCTACCGTACATTCGAGTAGGATATCTTCTACATAGAGAATATACTACTGTGAGCTACAGTTAGTCAACAGACGTTTGGAAAACAATATTGATGGCATAGAAGGAAAGTATTGGAATTAAAATAGAATTAAAATCGAATAAAATTAGAATGTAATATTGGGATGTATTAGAGTGAATATATTAGGATTATTATGCAGAAATACTTATTGGAATGATTAGAATATTACGGTATAGTTCATTTAAGCATTAGAATATGCTGTATTAGGATATTAGAAGTAGAATGTTCCTCATATTCTCATCGTGTGTTTGTATTATCATACGCTATAATATTAGGAGTAGAACAGAAAGTAGTGAAGTAAGATCTCATACATTGTGAGGCTCTACTAGAATAATTGATGATGAATCATTAAAACCCCATCCCAGCCAAAACGCTGAATGTATTTCCATTTACCCATTCCTCGTTGGAAGGCATCAAGGCTTTCTGGAGGAATTTCTTGCAGGACGCAAGTCCGTGCACATACCACAAGATTCTCCAGTCCCTCCTGGGCATTCCGTGGTTCCCTCTGAAGTTCTGTCAGACTCAACCTTCAAACTTCCCCTGGACCACCTCTGAATTTCCCTCACTGTCCCCTCCAGCTGCTTCCTCTCCTGCCCATGTTTCCCTGGCACCAGGTGGAAGTAACCCAGGCGCGCGCACACACACACACACACACACACACACACACACACACACACACCAGCCAGGCCACGGTTGCTGGAGGTGTATGAAGAAAATGCATCCACGTTCAGAGCTGCATTCTGGGGGGAGGGGAAAGCCCTCCCAGAGCTCATGAATGAGACTTGTGGAACCCCAGGGTTCCATGGGACCCCACACAGAGAATCATGGCTGCCATACTTGAGACAAAGTGTCCTTGTTCCTACTCTACACTCTGCCGTCCATCCTTGCACAGCCCAGCTATTTGTCCTTATCCCTTTCATGAAGGACACAGGCTTTACGTTTTCTACGCATGTACCACGTCAGGGGGTCTTCGAGGAAGACATCAAAAATGGTGAACCAGCAGCACGTCCCCATTCTGTGTTCCGTCCAGAAACTCTTCCTTCTTTTCTCTTGAGTCCATGTCCACATTGCCCGCCTTGACCATCATTAGGGCGCCTCTTTCTGGACAATCCATTCTCTTGGAAGGTGTGGGTGGGTAGAACGGAGATGGCCAAGTCCTCATGGAGCGAGGATGGAAACAACAACCAAGTTGGCGTGATGCTGGGAGAGGAAACTCTCGACCTTCCTACGTGCCCACGGGCAGGTCGTCCTTTGGCACGCCGCTGGCTCCGTGGATCTCTTTAGCTCACTTAAATAACGAGCGCTGAATGCTTGTTGGAGAACTGGAAGGATTCTGTTGGATAAAAGACAGATTTGAAGATTTCTTAGGGCGCTTTCCACATGCCTGGGGCACTGCTCGTTCTCAGATCCCTGTTCTCTCTGCTTCTTCCTTCGGGCAAGATCTGGTACTGCTCATTTATTACCATTTTTTCCCACTCGTTAAACCACTGCTAACATACCTTCCCCATGATACATCCCCGCAATGCCTGCTTCCTGAGAACACTTTGTTTAAGGATTGTCCAATAAAGGCTGTTAGGTATGTAGGACACGTTTTCTCCTGGTGTTTGACAGGCCGTTTGTCAACGTGCGCCTTCCCCCTGATGAAATCCTGAGACGGTGCTGCCACTCAAGAAAGCAGTCCGACCCCCCTAGCCATTGTTAGAGCATCCGGCCGACCAGAAGCGGCCGACTCGGGAGCTATGAACTGGAAGGCGTAGTCGGCGGGTGTGTATAGACCTTTCCTCTGAGCCTGGCCTGGGCAGCGTCTCAGGACAGGGAAGCGTCTCAGGACAGGGAAGCTCGTAACGCTAGAAGCCGACAGTGGCCAAAGTCGTTGTACTAATGAAACCCAAAGAACCAGCGGCTCAGAGATTCTGCTGTGGCCTTCCCAGCACGGGGCCTCTGCTCCCTGCAGAGTGTATCCATTAATAGCTAAAATGTCACAAAGAAAAAAGCTGTTTCACGCCTTTATCACGCACGGCTACACGTTCACGTTGACCAAGTGTCTTCCATTGTCCTTATTCACCTCCCTCTTCTCCCTCAGCTTTCCCCTTAATGTCCTTTTTTGGTACTTTATATTCTGCATTTTTTCAGTTTTTCATTTCTCTATAATGCAAATGCAGAGTTAATGTGTCTCTTCTATATATCGGTAGTGGACAGGACAAATGGCTAAAAACATGGTGGCTTACAATGGAAATCCATCCTCTCCCACCTCTGAAGACCAGAACTCTGAGACCCAGGCGGGGCAGGGATGCTGAGATCCAAGCAGGCCAGGGTCATGTTCCCTCCCCGGCCTCCAAGGAGGGTCCTTCTTGCCTCTTCCAGCTTCTGGGGCTCCAGGCATCCCTGGGCTGGTGGCCACATCCCTCCTTGTCTCTGCCTCTGTCCTAATGTGGCTTCTCCTCTCTGAATCTCTTCTTCTATTGCTTATAAAGACCGTATCATTGGATTTAGGGTCCACCATAAACCAAAATGGCACCCACAGTCCCATTTCCAAACAGGTCCCCAGTCTTTCTTTATCCAGGAGTGATGCCTGCATAAACAGAACAAAGAAATGGGTGTTGCTAAAAACTTAGAAGCCAAGAGATCCAGGAAGTATCCGTAGGAGTGTATTGCGGCAGCTGCAAAAAATGACCAGAGACGAGGTGTCTTAAAACCACAGGAATTTGTCCTCCTCTAGCTCTGGAGACCAGAACTCTGAGATCCAGGCAGGGCAAGGCCCCTGAGATCCAGGTGGGGTAGGACCTCTGAGATCTAGGTGGGACAGGGCTGTGCTCCCTCCAGAGGCTCCAAGAAGGGTCCTTCCTGTTGCTTCCAGCTTCTGGGGCTCCAGGAGTCCCTGAATTTATGCCCATGTTCCTCCCTTCTCTGCCTCCATCCTCATGGGGCTTCTCCTATGTTTGTCTTTCCTCTTCTGTGTCTTACAGGGACACCTGTCATTGCATTTAGGGCCACCCTGATCCAGAATGAGCTCATCTCAGTATGTGTCACTCAATCACATTCACAAAGTCTCTTTCTCCAAATAAGGTCACGTTCTCAGATGGTCAGGGTAAGAACGTGGATGTCCCTTTTTGGAGACCACCATTGCCCTCGCTATATTCTGTTTTGTTTTTTTTTTTAATTTACTTACTTTTTTAAAATGTCAGAAATTGATTTGAAATCAACAGGAATTTTTTTTTTCTTTTTCCTATTGACAGTTGACCTCTTCCATCAGGATATCAATGGAAAACTCCCTCTTTTTTTTGTTTTCTTTTAAGATTTTATTTATTTATTTGGGGAGCGACCATGAGCAAAGTGGGGGGCCAGAGAGAAAATCTCATGAGGTCATGACCTGAGCTGAAATCAAGAATCAGACGCGTAACTGCCTGAGCCACCCCATGAAAACGCCGTTTTTTAAAAAAGATTTTATTTATTTATTTGACAGAGATAACAAGTAGACAGAGAGGCAGGAAGAGAGAGAGGAGGAAGCAGGCTCCCCGTTGAGCAGAGAGCCCAAGGCGGGGCTCGATCTCAGGACCCTGGGATCACGACCTGAGCTGAAGGCAGAGGCTTTAACTCATTGAGCCCCCCAGGCTCCCCTGAAAATGCCATTTTATAAGCTATGGCCGGTGGTTCTTTCAGGGAATTAGACGTTCTCCTTCTAAAGGATCCAATTACCAGTGTCCTTCTGAGTTAAGGGTCTTTCCCTTCCGCATTCTGAGCAGAAGTACAGCTTGTGCCTTGGGCATACGGGTGGGTATCTGGCCCATGTTGATTAACTTCTGTATTTTCTTTGATTTTTCTAGCTCTTTGCACTTTTCAGTATGTTCTTGTGTAACTTATTTCATATTCCCCTCCCCCATTTCAAGGTATTAGAGAAGACATGTCTGTTGGTTTCTGTGCTAGGACGACAGTCTTTCCTTCTGATAACTATGCCATAGACGGTAATACTTAAGTGAGTGAGCAGGCCCGCGTTGCCAATAAAACTTTATTTATAAAAACAGGCTGTAGACTGTGATGCGCTAGATCTTTATGGCCCAAAGTGCAAGTTAGGAACCAGCCTTGCTCTCGCCCAGCTCCCTACGTGTGACCTACGTGAACTCCTCTAGTATGGAGGTTCAGATACTGGCTACTTACAGACGTATGGTCTACCTGGACCAAAGAGAAAAGAATAGGACACAGTGTTACACGTCCTCTTCCCTTTGCCCTGCTCACGTTTATTGAGCACCTACTGTGTGCCACACAGTACCCTATGTTTGAAGAGTACAAAGAACGTCACTCCTGGTCTGATGGGGGGTGACCTTCTGAACATCCTGTCTGTGTCGAGCTTCTAGAAATACCGCTCGCTACGAAGCAGAGATATTTTTTCTGTGCTCGCTCTCCGCTAAAAATAGCTGTTTATTTTTCTTACAGGTTCCCTCCGTTTTTCGATGACAACCCGTTTGGCATTTATCAAAAAATCCTTGCAGGCAAAATAGATTTCCCCAGACATTTGGATTTCAGTGTAAAGTAAGTAAACCGTTTCCCCTCCTCATCGGGGCGGGGGTGTGTGTGTTTATTTTTAAAATCACAGACCAGAAATCACAGACCAGAAATCACAGAGCAGGCATCGCCGAGCAGGACGGCATACTGTGTTCTTATTAGGCTGCGTTCCGTGTCTTCTGGATACTCCGCTTTTCCACCAGACGGGAAAAGGTGGTCGTCATTCTACCGTAATGATACTTAGCCTTTTCATGACTCTTGGCCAGATTTTATGGGCCTTGAGAGAAATGACATTTACAATTAGCCAATACAGGCATTTGTGAATCACACCGAGTAAGAGAACCATTGGGGTATTGCACGAAAAGGGTTCCTCCCAGCCCTTCACCTCCTCTAGCTGGTTTTGCCGTTGGCGGGACTATTGATGGCTTTAGCAGGCCGTCTCTTTTTCCTCCTGCTTGAATTACTTTCATTCTTAAATTCCTTTTTCATGCGGATACTAAGGCTGATGAACATCTGTTATGAGGACTTCTCTACAGCTTCAGTGTTAGTGACCTTGGTGTGCAGGTTATTAAATTCGTGGTGACGGCAGGGAGAAAACTCAAGTTTTTAACACTCCCAGAACGCTTTTGGCGTTCCAGTTACCTTCGTCCATCTGGTCACCTAGTACACATTTTTGGATCGTGACTTCTAGTTCTTTCCCTGCATTTCCCAGGTGAGCCAAGCCCGGCTGATCACAAGGTGGTTAACTGAGTTTAGTCAAGAATGTAACTTTTCTCTCTTTTTGCTATTTTTTTTAAACTAGCCCATGGGCAGGGAGTACAGAGAAAACTTGATTCCATGACACTGGGATAGCTGCCAGTTGCTTTTCTCACTGGTGAAGGTCATCTCACTCCCCCACAGAGGCTCTCCTTCCAAGTAGAAGACAGCGTTTCCCTGGGCTGGTTGGGCCTCAGAGGTGGTGGTGTGTTTGACACACCAGGCAAGTTTTAGAAGACAAGCAAGAAAACTAGGTTCCCTTAAAAATAGTCATCCAGAAGGCGGGCAGTCTGTCCTGTGAATGATAAGACAGTGAGGCGCGAAGGGAGATTGAGCAGTCAGAACTTTCTTTTCTCTAGAAAGAAATGGAAAATACTACATAGAGCTTCTCCCTCAGGATCCAACTCCCATTAGACTTGAGTGACATTATGTCACATGGATATGCCAACATTTCCCAGTGGTTGGCTTTGATTAAAATCTACTCATGCCCATTGGCAGATCAGCTGGTTGGTGGTGACCTTAGACCATTGACATTCAGGGTAAATCTAGAGGGTGTGGGCATCCGTTGTCTTGTGTGGATGCACGCTGGCAGAGTCCATCCTGAGGTATACAGCCGTGGCTTAGCTGTTGCTCCTCGTCAGTAGAGTGTGGACTGTCTCTTGCATTCTCCAAGTCAGCCCCTTGTAGAATCCCCTGATGGTCTTGGGCTGGGCAGAATCTTGGGGGATATATTCACTTCCTCTTGCTAGCAATGACCTAAACTCTTCCAAAAGCTGGCTGGTTCTTGGTTTCCCCAGAGAAGGGACAATGCATAAAATTGTAGGTCATTTCTTCCATCATTGGTGGGAAGGGCTCAGGTCAGTCATGAACATATTACGTTTATACTGTCCCATGGAAAAAAAGGGACTATGACAAACATTAAGTTTAATCTACGTTTGGTGTCTTACTCCCTATGCCTCTTTTCCCCATTAGGGTCTGCCCTGCTGTCCTTTGGTCTAGAATGCTCCTTGTATAGCAGGCTCTTCTTCTCTCTTGCCTGGGACCCCCGTGTCCCCAACATGGGGGCTCAGCCAGAGCAGGAACCTGGGATCCTTAGGTGCAGTTGCTGATTGCAGATGGTGGTTGAGTAGAACTTCACTTCTTCCCATTATTGTCTAGATCTTCCCAAGTTGGATGAGAAGCAGAACCTTAATGAGTCTTGTGTATCCAAACTACTGCCGTTGGTTGCCATGACGGTCGGATTTTTACTTTCAAGTTCTCAAGGTCTTCTGTTGTTGTTGCTTCACACAACCTCGGCATTTGACTGTGTCCCCTTCCTGCCTGGGCACATGTGTCTTTGGATTGTCATTAAGATTCCTTGTAGGATCTTAGGCAGCTGAAAGGATATTAGAGCTTTGGGGCGTGTTGCCAACGTGGTAGACCAAACACCTTCCTAGTGTTTCTTCCTGTCTCAGAGTGGTCAGAGAGAAGCCAGGCAGGATAGAATCAAGGGATTGCCACAGAGCCTGAGCCAGGATTGCAGGCACCTCCAGAGTTCCTACACAGCTTTGCCATATTGAACAGACGCTTTACATCCTTACCCTGTGCTGTTCTGTAAGGGTTCAATTTTATATTTTATTTTTTTTTAGGGTTCAGTTTTATATTTTAAATAAAACTTCATTTATTTAGAACCCCAGTGTAGACCGATTTAAGTAGATGCACTAACAATAAATGGTAGAGAAACAGAAGGGAAAAAAACACATTAGTTGGGATTGTTTGAGAGTGTGGTGTTTGGTGATTCACAGTCTAGGCATAAGGCATTCAGGGATCTTGGGACCCTGGACCTTCCCATATATTGCCAGGGGACTTGGGATTCCAGAGCCTGTGACGTGAGTCTGGGGGTGTTCTCCTTAACCCAGGGCATAAGGTTCCTTTCAGTTTTTCAAAGTTGTGTCATGGGGTTTTTGAAGCTGGACCATAGGTCTTTTGATTTATCTGGGGGGTTTCAATTTATATTTGAAGTCCCTCGATATTACTGTCCATAATGTATTCTATGTGTTATGTGCAGAGACACACACAAGCACAAATTTTATTTCCTTACCTTTCCTTTTTAGAACTAGCCTGTCTTCTGAATGTCTTGACATAAACTATCAGATCGTAATGGCCCTGTATTCTGAAGTGGGTGGGGAAGCAGAGTTTAAGGGACTCATAGAAGTTTGTGTGTTATGGGAGAGCAAGCAGCGTACAACCAGAATCCCATAAATAAGTAGCTCCTTAGGGCAAACTGTGGCCATTCATTTTGGTAAAAGCAGATGTCTTCTCTTGGGCAAGGACAGACTCACGGATACATTTTAAGTGAAATGTCGCTATGCTTGGGGCAGACACATAGTTTTCTCGCATCTTCTATTGAAAGGCTTCTTTTCTGTACAATGATGTAATAGGCCTTTTCCCCTTTGCTCTGTCCCTCTGTGTAGCCAGCCCTGCTTTGCATAAATTACTTAGAAACCCGTATCAGTGAGGAAACAATTGTGAGAAAATGTGGAGGCAAAACGAAAATTGATCCTCCCTCCATTGCATAATGTGGTGGGTGGATTTTATTGCCGTTGACACGCCGTGTTTGCTTGGGTCTGTATCAAGATGCATCTTCTTTTTTTCTCCTTCCCGCATGTAGGGACCTCATTAGGAAATTGCTGGTCGTTGACAGAACCCGACGCCTCGGAAACATGAAGGTCAGTGTTCGTTTTCGTACGTCTTACGCACGAGACACTCCCATCACTTGGCACCATACATACATTTCTATTTTTAGAGACAAAGGCACAGTGATCGTGTTTAATTGTGGGCTGAAGTTCAGATCTGGGTGTTTGGGCGTGTGAAATCCACCTGGGTCTATACCGCATCCCTTCTTCTCTCTAGACAAGTAAATGATTCACCCGTCATCTCCACGATGTCGGTATTTTGCTTAGTTATTTCGACTTTTCAAATAACGTGCTGGACCTATAACTCATGTACCATACATGCCTCCCCATTCTGAGCGTGCAGTGCAGCACCTTTTACTATGTTTGCAGAGTTGGGGAACCATCCCCAAAGTCAATGTCAAAGAACGTTTCCTCCTTCTCAGAAAGAAACCCCATACCCTATGTTGTTGTTATCCGATCCTTTCATCCCTCCTGCCCTTTCTGTCTCTATAGATATCCCTGTTCTGGGCTTTCCTGTAAGTGAATCACAGCATAAGTGATGTTTTGTGTCTGGCTCCTCCCATGTTTTCAGGATCTGTCCAGATGCTAGCAGGTGTCAGTGCTTTGTTCCTTTCTATGGACCAGTCACACTCCATTCATGCATGGACCCCACCGTGTGTACTCATCCCTCCACTGATGGACAATTGGGTTGTTTTCTGCCTTTTGGCTGTTGTGAATAGTGCCATAACCGTGGGTGTGCACATCTGTGTGGGAATTAATCATTTGAGAAAGTGTACATCATGTGTGATTTTCACAAACTTTTCATGTGGAGGGGAATATATTTAAGAGATGATTGTGTAAATGGTATGATATCTTATATGCACGTTTTGGTTCTGTTGTGGCACTGCTGAGTCTACGAGAATCTGGGAACATCTTAGCTATTTCTGGTTCGGGATATCCATGGAGAAACTTAATCATGGGTCCATACCTTGGTCTTGTCTACCGTAGTCTTGGGAGACACAGTAGACCTGTGCACGAGGCTTGGTTCACACCAAGCTCTCAGGACCATCTGTTGATGTGGGTGTATTTGTGTCCAGTGGCTGCTGTAACAAAGGAGCAGAGTCTGAGATCCAGTTGGGGCAGGGCCACTGAGATCCAGGCGGGTCAGGGCCATGCTCTGTCCCGAAGCTCCAGGGGAGGGTCTTTCTTCCTCTTCCAGCTTCTGGGGCTCCAGGTGTCCCTGGGCTTGTGGCCACATCCCTCCCATCTCTGCCTTTGTCTTCATGTGGCTTCTCCTCTGTGTCTGTGTCTCTCCTACTCTGTCTCTTGCAAAGACACCTGACATTGGATTTAGGGCCACCCTGATTTGGGATGAGCTCTTCTCAGATCCTTCGCTTAATCAGATGTGCCAAGACCCTATGTCCAAATAAGTTATTCTGCACAGGTACCAGGTGACATTTCACAAACTTTATGTTCAGATCCACTGGCTTCTTCCTATGTCACAGAATTCATGTGTTTCTGTCTTAACAATTCCCAACATTTAATAGATTAAAAAAGTTGCTCCAAGGGCCATAAAAAGGGATGAGATGGGTAGGGTCAAAGGCTGAACAGCTGGGAGGGATTAGGATTAGGGTAGGGTAGGGGATGAGGTTGGGGTTAGGGTTAGAGTTAGGGTTAGGTTTAGGTTAGGGTTAGGATTTTCAAAGACCATGATGCCATTGACATCTGCAAGTTGGCCATTGGTGTCAGCCTTGAGAGTGAAGGAGACAGACCATAAGAAACCATCTATTACACAAACATGGATAGTGTAATTGGAAAGTCCTGCTGGGTAGCTGTTAAGATCTCTGAAGTGGACATGACGGGTTTGAGTCCTAGTCATGTGACTTACTAGCATTGCAATACTGAGCCAATGACACCATTTAGTGAACCATGGTTTCTATGTCTGTATGATGAAGATGCTAAATTCTGAAGAAAACCATCAGGATAAAAACAGGTGGCAGACTCAGAAATGTCCTTCTGTCTGTCTTGTTTTATCTCAGGAGCCTGAGCCAAAGTCCTACTTCTGTGTGTGTTCCAGACTGGTCCTGACAGGATTTCTTTCTACTCTGAATGAAAGTGAACAAAACACAACACCTTTATGTATATATTTTCCCTCCTAAGTCATAGTCCAGGGATGATGACTCAAAACATAGCACACTTTTTAAATTTAATTTTACTTTTTAATTCTCTACTAAGTAGAGATTCTCTGGAGTGTTTTCTTCCCTGTCCTGTCAAAATTCCGTCTACTGATGGTGCCTGTTTCTTTTGAAGAATGGAGCAGATGATGTAAAGCGACACCGGTGGTTTCGAACTGTGGATTGGGAGGCGGTCCCACAAAGGAAACTGAAGGTACAAAATACGTACGAGGGTGACTGTTGGCTTGGTATCGTTACCTGTCTTCAGCAAGGGGCAGAGTCTGATTCTGACTTGTTTACTTATAGCTGATACATAGTTAATTTGTATAATACAGCTGATCATCTCAAATCATTAATAAGCCAAGATCCCTTTTCAGTGGAAATCTTAGTGCTACAGAGACACCTAGAGGTAACGGGTTAAGACCCCACATTTTACAATTGGGTTTTTTGAGACCTGGCTCTGTATCTCACTTGAACTATGATTAGGATGAGTCCCATCCCACCAATTTCTAATCGGGAATGGTAAATGTTGTAACACAGAACACGTGTTTGTCCAACATTTATGGATATTGTACAGTGATGGTGGTAGTATTTTCTAGCTCACCTTTCTTTGAACTGAATATATATGTGTGCGTACACACACAGCACACACACACACACACACACATTTTTTTAAAAAGATTTATTTATTTTAGAGTAAGAAAGAGAGCATACACATGTGAGGGGGGACAGAGGAGGAGGGAAAATCTTAGCCTGACTCCTAGAGCTGCTGGGGGACTTGATCTTACGGCCTTGAGATTGTGTCCTGAGCCAAAATCAACAGCTGGACACTTGACCCAGAATTGAAATGTATTTTTTTTTCTTTTCTTTTCTTTTTTAATTTTAAAAAAGGTTTTAAGGATTTTATTTATCTATTGACAGAGACACAGTGAGAGAGGGACTACAAGCAGGGGGAGTGGGAGAGGGAGAAGCAGGCTCCCTGCTGAGCAGGGAGCTCGATGCGGGGCTCCATCCCAGGATCCCGGGATTATGACCTGAGCCAAAGGCAGTTGCTTAACAACGGAGCCACACAGGTGCCCCTGAAATGTATTTTTGACAGGAATCTTCAATAATGACATGCTCAACCTTGGACTTTTCGAGTCAATGGAAGGACTTTAAAAATGCTTATGCCTGGCCCCCAACCTAGAACGTAGGGTTCAGCCCAGACCACCAGTGTCTCCATGAACTGCTTTTAAGTGTTTTAATGTATTCAGTGACTAATTTGTTAAAATTAAATAAACAACATATTTTCATCATTCAAAAACCAAATCAGTATTAGAAGATGTGCATTACTGAGTGTTACTCTCCTGCTCTATTTCCTCCCAAAGCCCCTTATTTTTATAAATAAAGTTTTATTAGCACACAGCCAACTGCCTTCATTTACACGTCATCTGTGGCTGCTTTCCCCCCACCAGGGTAGAGCTGACCATTGAGCACAGAAATTCCTCTGCCTGCAAGACCAAAAATATTTACTGACTGGTCCTCTACAGGAGGACCTCCTTTGGCTGACCTCCTTTTCAGTGCCAGTGACCTCATTTTATTGATGCTGGACTGAGGCTTGGCATTGGTGATACTGTCAGTGGAGTCTGCTGTTGTTGACATCTTTCTGGAATTTTCCAAATTTTGGCCACTGGACCAGCTACTTCAGTATCACTCAGACCTGGACAGGCCTGGGGAGCTGCATGAACAAGGCATCTGGGTAGTTCTCCAGTCTAGAATTTAAGAAGCAAGAGCAGGCTACCATCTTTTCTCCCTTTGTTCCTCATAACGCACAATTGGTGGACACCTTACTCACAGTATTTCTGGTTCAAAGCTTTCCATGTTCATAAAGCAAGGACAACTTTGGTTTTTCTGTGCTTTTTTCCCCCAAATCATCTCTGTTGTTATGTAAAGGTGTAGACATAAAGGGATGCATGTCTCATCCAGGTGCGCACTGTTTCCTCCTGACTGTGCCTCTGTGTTTCCCCCCGACCCTGCAGCCCCCGATCGTGCCGAAGCTATGCGGCGAGGGTGATACCTCGAACTTCGAAGCGTACCCTGAGAATGACTGGAACACGGCCCCTCCAGTGTCACCAAAAGATTTGGAAGTCTTCAAGAATTTCTGAGGACGGGAATCCTCCTCTGGAAGGTGTATCTTTAGACACAGTAATTATGAATCCGTGAAGTTGACGCGTTCCCCCATCAAAGGGTTGTTGCTGTTGGTGGAGCAGGGCTTCCCTCATCCCCAGGGACTCAAGCAGTGGGGCAGAGCTAGATGGAATCCTTCTAGCATCAGCTTGGCCAACACCCTGGGGTGTGTTACTCAAGACATGCGGTATGGCCCAGAGATAGCATTGCCTCCAATGTCCCACTCCTCAGACACACCTGTTGGGGCAGAATCCACATCCAGCTAAGACCTCTGTGAGATCCGTGTGCACCTGCACAGTCCAGGGCACAGCCCCTTTGGTTAAAAAAAAAAAAAAAATCCCTGAGTCCTTGTGTTCTAGAAACCCTGAGTTCCAGACCAGTGTCCTCCCAGATACCAACCAAACATTTTCAGAAGGGTTTTTTTTTTTAGACCCCTTTTCATTAAAAACTGATGACAGCAGTAAACACCTCTGATGGGATTGGCTAAGCTCCATTTGACGTTTAAAAGAATGGATTTTTGAGTCATTTCTTTGAACCTTTAAGGTCTGTGACTCTGTGTCTGTGGAATCGATGAGTTTGAAGGATCTTTTGAATGTGGGTAGTGAAGATATTTCAGTTTCTCCCAGTTCTGTGAGGAGCTTGGTGATGTATACCACTTGGTTTTTCCTTCTCATGACATGCAGGCAAGAAAAATGGCAGGAAGGAAGAGAAGCAAGATACAACCAATGAGCGTTCTCCTCCTTGACTTTTCTTGTGTTTTTGTTTTTGTTTTTTTTTTTTTTTTTGGCCTCTGTTTATCCCCCCAACAGTAATTATGTGGAATGGGAAAAATAACTGGTCAATACAACGTTCAAGTTGACACCGTTCTAGAACCCTCACCAGAGGGACACGTTGTGTACCAGAGACCTCTACTCTCTGCTGGTCTTGCCATGCAGATCCCGAGGGGAAACCTGCCTAAATGTTAAAATGTGGAAACAAAAATTCAGTGAGAGAGAAGACAGGTGTCCCTGTGGATGAGAAGGGAACATGTCTGCTTGATGGGTTTTAGTCTTTTCAGCACGTAATGACCGTTCTCTGGAGGTTCTCTTAAAAAAGACTCTCTTTAGCTTTTCCAGCTTCTGCAGACCTCGTGAAGGCCAGTTAATGAGTTTTAAAAATAGGAGGTATTTCTAAATTTGGGTTTTACTTTCTCTTCTGTTCATTTGCTTCAGTTTTGAATGATTTGCCTGTAACATTTTGTGAATGATTTTTATCCAGTCATCCTTAAATGGAAGGCGTGATCCATCTTCCATCTTGATGGAAGACGTGGTATGTTTTCTAGTGCACGACACTTAGTTGATAAGCCAGAGGACTGCAGCCTTTTTGTAACAGGGATACTGTTAAATTTACTTAAGGAGACACAAATCTGCCGTCTGATGGGGTCTGTCGTGTACTCGGGGGATAGTTTTCTATTCACGGTTGGGAATTGTACCCCCAGAGGCCCCAGATAGCAGATTTTAGCAGATTCTGGAGACAGGAATAACTTTCTCAAGGTGGGGCATATCCTTGGGAATATACGTGTAAATGGCATTTTTTTGTGTGCCTGGAGTCATCCTTGAAGGACTTCGGCCAGTGGTGCGGACGCTGTTTGATGACCTTCTCAATGAACCTTGGGAAATCAAGATATCATGTCATGATCACATGACTTTGTGTTTATTGCACAACCTTGGATTTTGGTCTCTTGCTGGAGCAGCTAGATGTCTTAACATTTGACTCTGTTTCCCCGATTTTGCACAAAGGACAGGACAGAGATCTGGCGTTTTCTGTGCTGAGTAAACACGTGTGACCATCCGTGAGGGAAGGTTATTTCTTCATGAAGCAAAATGGTCTCCCATTGATGACGCCCAAGTGCAGCTTAATGCCCGCTCTCCAGAGCCAGTTAACAGCTGTATGACTAACCCACTCACCTTTGAAAAGTGGAGTCTCCCATCTCTTCACCTCATGGAGGGGACTGTTAGGATGCCTGGCGGGGAGAGGCCTCCCATTTTGGTTTTTATTTGATTTCAGCATTTGACTTGAGAGGTTTTCTCTCTAGCTGGAAAAGTTCTGCAGTGGACACATTGAGACAGGACCTGGTTTTCCTTGTGGAATCACTCTCCTCTCTTTGCGTAGATGAACATGGGATAATTCTGTGCATGATACCATCGTATCTTATTTGAGACTCACCGTTAAAATACTGCTTAACTTTTTTTTTTTTTTTTAAGACTTATATACTTAGAGATAGAGAGCATGAGCAGGAGGGGCAGAGGGAGGAGAATCAAGCAGACTCCATGCTGAGCAGAGCCAAACACGGGGCTCAATCTCATGACCCTGAGAGCAGGACCTGAGCTGAAACCAAGAGTCAGATGCTTAACCGACTGAGCCACCCGGGCCTCCCATGGCTTTCTGATTTTATTAATAAGCATTCATAGAATTCATAGAATTCATAGGATCTTTGCAAGAACAATTGCAAAGGAACGTTTGTTCTTGTGTATTATGGAGTTATTTTTGAGTTGTTAGTACGATTATTATAAATCTTGCCCACTTATTCTGAAAACTAACAAAATCCTTTTTTAATTTTTGTCTCAACTAGGATGATTTAAACCTGCTGGGAACAAAGAGCTGCACATCCGCTGTGAAGAAGGGTCGCGTCCACGGGATAAGGATATTTCCGTATTCTAGAAGTCCGGATGTACATAAAGAGACTGCATATCCGTACAAAGTCATGGACCTGGCATTATTTAAGCAACTGGAAATTAAGCATCATTAAGCAACTGGAAATCTACTGCACAGTAGGACCTTTCAGAAAATTGTTTGGTTGTAGATTTTTATCTTATCTCTTCGTGTGATGAACCTACTGTGATGTCTTGGTTTTCCTCATAGACTTAACTTTATGAGTTTGAACTGAACGTGTTTGGTTATAACCACAGATGGCGCGTGTGCGTGCGTGTGTGTGTGTGTGTGTGTGTGAAAAGACCATGGGACTGGTGCACAGGAATTGCACTGTGATGTTCATCTTTATACTTCTCAGAGCCTGCGATTTTATAGCTTGTGAGGAAACCTGTTCTGGTGGTCCATGTCCCGTATCTTTCATGCTTCCTGTCTGGTGACTTTAGGTCTTGAAACCAGAAGGGAAGACAAGGATGTGTCCGTTTGAGTTTGAGTCTGAGAATACCAGTGGCCATTAACATTGTTCAAGGCATGGAATGCCATCCAGAAATCTCCTGCATCACATCCGGAAATTCCGTAGTCCATTGTGGTGGTGATGGGTGGAGTGGCAGGTGTCTACCTAATAATATCCCATTTGAGCTCTGTGTCCAGTCAAATGCAGAGCTAACAAGTGACTTTCCACATTGGCTCAGTTGCATGGGTGACTTTCATGCAAGCGTGTTTTTATTTTAACTTGCCTTGTGGGAAGAATAAGATGCAAATGAGCTATAGGGTGTCAGTGTTCGATGTAGTAGAAATTAATCCCTCTTGGTTCTTCTGTTTGGTTCTTCTCTTGTCTCGTAGGCAGGGTGGGCTCGTACAGACTTATTAGTGGGTGAGATTTTGTCTTTTCCTCTCTGGACCTGATTGTGAAGATACCATGAAGAGAGCAACCTGCCCATGCTTTCCCCTTGGGATTGACTTAATGCAGGGTGGGTGCAGAGTAGGCTCCAGTGGGAATGTTGCTAGATGTGGGTCTTTCCAGAAAACGAGGCATGCAAAGAGGTCCTGGGGGTCTGTGCTGTCTGTGATGCATTGCCTTGTCTCTCTGCTGGCCGTGACTCAGCTGGACAGAGTTGCTCATATCTGTGTTGCGTCTGGTCATAGGGCTCAGCCATGACCTTCTGCAGGGATGTCTGTGCACTTAACTAGTAGGTGCCAGAGCCTTTGTGACCACAGAGGGACATCCACATTGAGCTCCAAGACCCTGTCTCTACTGTTCCTTTCTTGGGTTGGCCCAGAAAAGCCCACCTCCTTGGGTACTGGGTGTGGGAGCAGCATCTGCCCTGGGAGATGTGTTGCTGAAATGGGTGCGGGGAGGAGTCAAACCTGGGCACCCTCTCAAGGCTTCTCCAGCTCATGTGTTCTCAAGTCACCTTGTGGATTCTTGGCTGTCGTAGACATTATTATTCTCCAGTGCCGTGCCTGGAAAGACCTTTTCTGTCCATGTAACCTTTTGTACCTCTCCTCTGTGACCACGTATGTGGACGTGGAGAGCCGCCGTGTGGGAAAGTCATACATTTCTTTGAGCAGCAAAATGTCAAAGGCCGCGTAGTTGCCTACCTGATTTGGCCAGATCCCACTCACAAGTCAGAAGGCTGGGATTCTGTGTGCTGCAAGGTGGATTGGAGAACATGTGCACACACCCAAGCTTTAATAGACCCTGAAATCAAAGCCATGCCGCGTTTCCCCCTTCCTCATACATCACCTGCTCTTCAAATACAAATCCAGTGAGTAAGATCAGGGCGACTGCAACATTTAGTAAAATAAACAGTTTGTAACGAGTAACTCAAAGGAAAATTATTTTTAAAGGGCGAGCTGTATGGATATTCCAACAGAACAGTGTTTTCAGTCTGGACTGATCAATTCCCGTGCTGGTTTGCATTAAGTAGGGGGCCAGAATGGGCATTGCTTTCAGCACAAAGTGTCTCGTCATGGACTGTTACAAGTCTGACGTTGACAGTTAACTGCCTCATCATTGACTGTTACAAGCCTAAATCGGCAAAGGGATGGTGCACTGAGATACAAACCCACGTGGGGAAAGCAAAGATCTCACGTCCCCTGACTTATAAAAATAAATTACTATTATTTTGGAGCCCTGTGCTTAAAAAAATAAAAATAAATGAAACACCTTTCTTGAACGTGATAAAGCATTGTATTAGACACTTTGGCCCATATGCATATTTTCGGGTTTAGTTCTCACTGTCCCGGATTTAATATAGGTTATGAAAATAGCCTCAAGAAAGCATGAAATGAGATGCCTTAATATTGGACAGATATGCACACACATACACACACACATGCACACACGCCAACATTAATGCACGGATCACATGGTTCTTTAAAAACATTGTCATCGGCCGTGAGCCATGCAAAACAAATTAAAAACTAAAAGGAATTCCAAGAATACCAGATGGTGTTAAACTCAGTCTTGCCATTGCAATATTCAAGGTGGCACACGCCATGTGTTAACGGCCCGTGGCTGGACTGTTAAATTAAGCAGGGTGACGTAATGCAAAGACTGATTTAATCAAAATGAGTCCCAAACACATGGGACACTCATGATATATCATTGAAAAGTAGTCTACTCGGCGGGGGCACTCCGAAAATTTCAGGTATCTAATCGGATATCTGTGTGCAAAAGTCACCAGAAGAAATGTCATGGAACTACTCGCAAAAATTTGCATCAGAAAAAAAAAAAAAAAAAGACTCCTTTTCGTTCTATGCAATTTTATGAGTTGGCAATATTTTCTTAAATACAGATACCATTTAAAAAAAAATTCCTCAGGAAACGTGTGTTTTGCAGAGAAATGTGTTGGGGCGGTTGCTGTTTTTCTAGGGGGATTGTCACCAGCCTGCTTGAACACACAACTGTAAAGCTCAGAAGGAAATTGAGTCACAGCTGGCCATACAGCATATCCTACATCGGGGCCAGCCAACTTTCATTTCTTGCAGAACATACGTGAGAACCTTGCTTGGTGTAAACGTATCTGCTGTGGCGATGGACACTTTGTGATTTCTGCTGTTGACGTGATGATGGGTCAAAAGAAAGCCCGGCAAGAACACCCGTGTGCCCAGCTCACGTCCTTGTGATGGCTTCACACTCCTTGTCCCATCCCTGCCCACCACCTGTCCATCTGGTACAGGGCACTGTTTCATTCTGTGCTCTCTGCCTAAGAACTCCCTTGGTACCAATGACAGAAACACCAGTACCACTAGACAGTCCTGTGACGTGCGATGCGTTTGCCATTTCTTTGTATGACTTCAGCTGCCTCTAGATTTTGGACCATTTTAACTGTGAAAATATGGCTCTGTGCCATCAACTAAAAAGACCCCAGTGCCCCCCACTCTCAAGGCACTGAGAGCTGCCCACCCCCAGGGAGGGCTTCAGGCTGCATTAAATCCCATGACCACATCAAAATTCTCGTTCTAGCCACTTGGTTATTGTAGTGCAGGAAAAAATACTTGGTTGGATTTTTCCCCCTAACCAATAGATTTTATACCCCAAAATGAACACATTCACAGAAGCCCCTGAGGGCTCCCGTGGTGGAGACTGAGGAGATGATGCCTAAGTTGCTCTCTTTCTCGAGGCCCATCCACCGAGACTATGGGTTTTATCTGCGTTGGGCAAGTCCTGGGTACCTGTACTGTGTGTCCCTATGTCTTACGGAGGTGAGAAGGCCTTCTCTTCACTTCCACCTTCAGTGGACGATGTCCACTTACCAAAAACAAGAAGATAAGCACATGAACTGTTGTGTTAATAATGTATTTGGGTAGTTTGGGGTGTGTGTGTGCACGTGTGTGTATGTTTTGGTGGCGATGGATGTGGGAGACGTGTTTTCTCCAAGCATCATGTTTCCCTATCAAGTTGATTTTGCAGACCCCGTGGGCTTAACGGTCCTTCGTAGTAACAGGGAATCGCTCTGTCATGCTTTCCTATAAATTATTGTGTTGTAATGCATTCTGTTGTGCTTTCCTTGGCTTTTCCCTGGCGGACACCTGTCTTAATTTAAAAGTCATTATGTGTTTGTTAGCAGATGGGATTTCAAGCCTTTTGACACTCAGGGCATCTTGTCCTCTGAGATGGGTCTTCAGCTCTGCAGAACGGTCATAGCTTCCTTCTTCCTTGCGCCGTGCTATGGGCAGCCTGGCCGGGGGGCCCCGGGTTGGCCGTGGGATGCCGCAGACATGAGACGGAGTGCCTTTGCAGGTGCGGTGAGCCCCGGCAAGCCAGCACTGGGATCCCTGTGGGGTCGTCCCAGCTTCTCATGTGGAAAAAAAAAAAAAAAAAAAGTCTGTTGCTAATTCTTTCAATTCTTGCACAATGAAAATCACTGTGATTTGTATATATACCTTAGGAAATTTTTACTGCTGCCTAATTTATGTAATAATACTATTCATTCCAGGTTTGTTTAATAAAACTTTGTTATCTTTTAAGATGCCTGGTTGTGGTCTGCTTCTTTGGTTATGGGACAAGCTTGTCTGCGTTCAACGAGTTCAAGGAGTCAGCAGTGTCTCTTAATTTAATTTTTAATTTTTTTATTGAGGTATCATTGACCTATGGTATGAGTTTCGGGTGAACCACGTAATGATTTTATCTCTATAGATTGTAGCATGGTCACCACCACCAGTGGTGATGGTGGTGATGAAAGATTATTCATCACCACACGTGGTTGTGAACTTATTTTTCTTGTGACGAGAACTTTTAAATTCTTTATTCTGAGCAACTTTCAAGTATATGATACGGTATCATTGTATCTCTTTCTGCAAAGGGCAGGATGGTAGATATTTCAACATTGCTGGATACACTGTGTCTTTCAGGAGCACAAAAGCTTCCCTAGACAGTATGTAAACCAATAGGCTGTGTTCCAATAAAGTTTTATAAAAACCAAAGCACAGTTCAAGGGCCAGATTTGTTGCCCAGGCCACGCTTTACCAGGTTCTAATCGAGTACCTGAGGGTGACTTTGTACATCACCTTTGCAGCTTGTTAAAAATGTGCCGTCTTCATCGTTATAAATAAATAAATTATTTGATTGCACATTCTCTTTACTCACATAGCTCGACCCACAGCTTTCCAAGTTGCCTTCTGCTTGCTAAAACCATGCTGCCTCATCACTCAGGTAAACCCCTATCATCGGTAGCTAAC